ATACGCTTTTTGATAATATTGCACTCAACTGCTGATAACGACATTATATCTCACGACATTTACTTACGTTTTTTTCTCGTTAAAAGATAGACCGACAGATCCGCTATGAATTTTACTTCAGTGCTGCTTCAGACAACATGATCAGTTGCGATGGTAGAGAGTAAAATTGCGCACGTTCAGAGAATAAATCAAAACAAAAAGAAACGATCTATTGAATGTGCTAACCTGAAGAAAATAGAACCCGAGCGTTCGGCTCGCGTTAAATGTGAAGCCATTCGCGGAACGTTTTAAAAACTTTTTCGACGGAGAATATTGCTGAAAATTATAAATGACAGAGTGTAATTCGTTGTTCAAATTTGAAATTAATTGAACTTGTGTGAGACTTAACGATGACTCGAAGTATATTTGCACGAACTCTCAAAGAAATAAGAAGTGAGATTGATATCAATTTGAAGCAAAATTGTCTTCTCGGGTGAATATGCGAAGTGTGAGCTTTTTTTCAATTGGAAGTATGCCAGAGCATTTGCTATTCAAAATGTGCTTGCGTTTTGAGTCTCTCTCATAGCAGTGCAGCTTTACTACGTTGCTTTGATAGATTACTTTACTTTTAATTTCCACTTCGAAGCCATATGTATTCGTTGTGGATCTGTGTTTGTCATGAGCTTTTTGGAGCATTTTGTTCAGAATGATGAGCCGTATCGAAATATGTGGCATTTACCGTTAATTGGATAACATGAGAGAGCTTGCACGCACTTGACAGAAGGAAGCATTTCATTTGTTGCAGACATACAATAGCGAGAAAGGATTGCCTACCAAAAACTGTAAAGTCTCATATTTCTGTGTGCTAGGATCATTGACCATATCAAAATTGATGTGTAGAAGTAGGATTGTTCCGAGAAAGAAACAAATATAGGCATCTCCTCATTTTTAGCAAAGCAGTAATTATTGTAGAATGAATTACTGAGGTAATATATTATTTACAATTTTATTATATAGAACGTGATTATGGATTCTGTATTCAAGCAAAAGCAAGTTCATTAATGTGATTTCATTGGGATTAATTTGATAGAGACAAAATGCAGTAATATTCCACTGGAAAATATCTTTACGATCGATACGGAAATCACCGTGAATGCTATCTGCAACCGTCTGTAGGGTGAAGATAATAAGATGATTTTGAGGATGAGAAACGACTGGCGATAAAGAAAGCAAAAGAGGATTTGGAGCAATGGCTACAGAACCATCCGAAAGTGCGACCGTCAATGCGGTATACGAAGGCTGAGAAATTATTCGAAGATGAGCCGCTTTGGAAGGCTGTACATGATAGTGAAAGAAAGGAGATATTCCGAGATGTGTTGGTTCGTTGCCTTTGATTTGCTCTCTTTTCGGGCATATTCCCTCATTTTCGTCATTTATTTTCATTGTTATTATCATTGTGATTGATACTGTTATTATTATTATTATTGTTACTGTTATTGTGACATTGGTACATCATTCGGTTCTAAACAGAATATTCTTCCATTGCAAGCTGACTACAAGCATTTGATGGAAGCTTAACGTTTTCCGCCATAGCCTAGTCGGTTAGAGTATCCGATCGGAAGATGCTAGATCACAGGTGTGAGTTCTGCTCATATGGGAAAGTTTCGCTCGAAGGTGAATGATTTGCCAGTGTCATTATTGCGAGGCATGATTTGGCTTGTATCATCTAATCGTCTGTTTATGTGATAATCGTCATTAATTATTGTTTTCATAGTACTGTCTCACTATCATTGTTACTGTTACGATTGTTTGCGTAATCATCATCGAAGCTGTTCATAAGGTTTTTATTATTGTTATATTTGTGGTAGTAACGAATTGAAAGTGAACTTCAGGAATTCGTTGAGAAGCGAGATAAAGAGAATGCAAAAACGTTGCGTCGTCGTAACGTGCAGGCGCTCGCAGATATTTTAGAGGGAATGGAAGAAATAACTTATCGGACAACGTGGGCTCAAGCACAACGTTTATTAATCGAAAATCCGGCTTTTGCTAATGACAGCACACTTCAGAGTAACTCTTCGTTATTTTTTAAAGCTTTACTGTTATTATGAGAGTTGAATGTCATTCGAATGATTGATGTTAACCGAATATTAGTGAATAATAGTGTTGAATAATAATTGTCAGTTTTATTATCATTGAGATTAGTGAAATGTAACTGATGAAAGCTGTATTTAAGATATGGACAAAGAGGATGCGTTAATCGTATTCGAAGATCACATTCGAACAGCCGAAAAACATTACATGAAGGAAAAAGAAATGGAGGAAAAGCGACGGAAAAGACAAGAAAGAAAAATTAGAGAAGCATTCCAAGAATATTTACATGATTTACATAAAAGAGGTTAGTAAGCACTATTAGTTTTGTCGGTAGTTAAATATTTTAATTGTAAATGTTGTTGGTGATATTATTATATGATATTCGTACATGATTTGAAAAGATCATTATCACTAGTTGTAATAGTAATGAATGATTTAAGGAGAATTAACATCAGTTTCCTTATGGAGCGATTTATATCCGATAATATCGGCAGATAATCGTTTTGATAACATGTTAACGCAGTGTGGAAGCACGCCATTGGATCTGTTCAAGTTTTACGTAGAGGATCTTAAATCGCAATTCGGACAAGATCGTCGTACGATTAAAGACATTTTGAAGGTAATCTCCTATTTGATTCGGTTCAATTGCTGTGCTAATTGTTGAAGATTAGCTAATCTTTAGATTTGTTTCATTGAATTCATGTTTACTCTGACTTTGAATGGTGTATTTGCGATTTATGAATCAATGTTTGGAATATTTTTGGGGTTTTTTTTTACAAGAAGGATAAATAAATAGATTGATGCAGTAAAATAAGAATGACTTCAAAGTAACCTCCCGTCTTTTGAATAGCCAAGTTGAAATCATGAAAATGCAAATAGAGAAAACGTATTGGATGAGTTTTGTGGGAGGGGTGAATGAGTGGAAGTGTTTTATTGTGTGTTGTTTTAGATTAATAAATAGATGAGTTTTGATATGCAATGAATTGAAGGATTTGAATGTGACGGTCGAATTGGAGACATCGTTTGATCAGTTGTGCAATTGGATAAATTCGGATGAGCGTGGCAAGAGTGTTGATGTTGGCAATATGAAACTGTGTTACAATTCATTCATTGAGAAGGCCGAGGCGAAAGAGAAAGAACTGGAAAGGGAGCAAGCCCGAAAGGTTTTGCTATTCTCTATGTTTATGTGTTTCATATTATTACATATGCTGTGAGGTAAATATTTTGATTGTTTTTCGATAGCGTTGTACGATTTCATCTGAAACAGTACTGTGCACAATTTTTAAAGTAGTAACAAATTTTACCGGACGAACTGCATCGAATGATGAAAAATTAATTGAAATGAGTTTCGAATTTCAGCGTCGTCGTCACGAAACAGCGTTTCGTAACGTTCTGCGCGCTCTCGTGCCACCCGTTGAGCCAACTTCACAATGGGAAATCATTCGAGCGAAGATTGAGAATGAAGAGGCGTTCATTGCCGTCGAAAGTGAAGAACTCCGACAAAAATTCTTTGCGGTTCGTTGTTCATCATGTTTCTGTCCTTTTGTATATTGTATATGTTCAGTCACGAATCCTGGTAGATGTGATTAGCAAAGTTATTTTGTAAGGATGGGCGATATATTGAAGGGAAACGAGAGATAGAAATGTCAGCAGTTCACTTTGGGAGGATTCATTCATCGGGGAGTTTTTCGAGAAAATATGGCTTCTTTACTCTAATTGTAAGAGTGATCTGCCGAGTACTTAACTCGTGGCCTTTCTTCATCTTATGACTTGAACATATTAGTATGAACATGAACATATTTGGTTTCATCCTTTTCAACAACAGTCTCGAGTTGCAAGCTGGTTGAAAGTATTTAATGATAAATATCAGCGAGGAAGTGAATATTTCATCGATATAAATGTAAATAGCTCTGTCAGGGTTGAAATGTTTGTTAATTGGTTATTGATAGCTGTGAGTAAATGGTACTATCATTTTAAGGATTACCTGCAAAATTTGGCAGAAGCATGTGGTCATCATCACGGTACGGGCAAGAAGAAAAAGAAGGNAAGGATTACCTGCAAAATTTGGCAGAAGCATGTGGTCATCATCACGGTACGGGCAAGAAGAAAAAGAAGGACAAAAAGAAGCAGAAGAAGGATGATGTATGTGTGCACTTGATTGAGTTGATTTGATTGTTTAAATGATCGATATGGAAATGAATTGGAATCATTTTTTGGAATATTCGCATCGCTTTTGAATCGTTTTTGTTTGCTGAATTAAGATGAATGTTCGTCTGAGTGTATTCGATATTTGAGCCCTTAATCGAAATCAGTCGGCTTTTTACTGATCGACTTAATTGCAGAAAGATTCTGACTCGGATACCGAAAATCGTCCAAAGAAATCTAAAAAGAAGCATCATCGTTCAGATGCAAGTGGTGATGAAGAGAAAGGTTTCATTTTATCAACTGTGATTTCCTCATCATATAAGCTATTTTCTTTAGAATGAATGATTAGTAATTTCTTTTGCATCCTTGTTGATTATTCATAAGATCGCTTTTGGTGCATTAATAATGTCACATTATTAGGAAGCCATTGTAAGGGTTATTGCGGTCAACAGTGCTGATTGTTGCTATAATACATTTACAATTAGTTACACATTTTTGGTGTACGTATGAAGTGGTTTTGAATATTGTTTCGCACTGAATTCCTCAATGAAATAATCTTTGTAGTTTTCGTGTTTTCATCAGATTTTACTCCGAATGTGGTTCTTTCATTTACTGAAATTGAACCAGCTTCAGTGAATAAATTATTCATCTTGAAATTTAGATCCAGAACGTAAACGTAAGAAGAAATCGAAGAAACATTCCAAATCTCAATCACGATCTCAGTCTCCTTTAGCGGTTTGTTGCATCTTTTTCGCTCTCTCATTTAAATACGCTTCTCATTCCCACATCTTACCTCATACTTCATTTTCATTTCGGTTTTCGCTCTCTGCATAAACTAAGTGTTTCAGCACAAATAACCTATGTGAAGATAATGCTCGAATATAATTCCAGTAATACTCTAACCTTAAAATTTTCTTGATATGATGATGTATTCTCGTTGGAATTTATAATAGATGAAGTTGATGTTCGTTTCAGGAACCAGTCGAAAAGCACGCAAAATTGAAACATTCTTCATCACGGCAGGTATATTTGTTACCGCTTTTCTGCAATAATCGTTCTTAATTGATACCACAAGAATTCAGTTAACTTGTGGTATCTGAGCGCTTTTTTTTTGAAAAGTTCCAGATAAATAACGTTGATCGATATGTGCAATCTTTTCATCATTGTATTTAGAGGTAACATTCAGTAGTCAGTTAGGACATTTTGTAAAGAAAGTTCTGACGATAAGTTTGAATTAACTGATATGAAATATATCCGACTGATAACTAAGGATTTTGAATTTGATGTGGATATCATTTGAAATGGATTTGTTGTCGCGAGAGTGATTCGTGTGTGTTGCGTTCTGAATTCGATGCGGCGTTTCAGTAAATCCTTTAGTAGTTTCAGGAAGAGAGCAATGAGTCGGAATTAAGTGAAAGTGAGTTGGTACGCAAACGGAAGGAACTTCTTAATAAACTCGTCTCGTCACCATCCAATATTCAGTAGATTGTTGATTTCGGTTTCGTTCATTATGTCGTCTCATCTCATTTTGAATCTATCGAATATGTATGCTAGTTCAATAAATCGTTCGTATGGAATCATTGTTGATTCGTTGATTTACAGTCACTAGTACAGTCACTAGTCTGAATTTGACCGTTCGTTCACTGAAATCGGTCCAATAAAAACGTTTTTCTCTAAGTTTACATCTGATTGAAAGAACCGTTTAAAGTACAATTTGTCGTGGGATAGCTCCGATTGGTGTCGAAAAAAAGGAAGTGAAACTTGCATTATTGTTGCAATATTTCAGGGTTATTTTTCAAAAGAATCTTTCATTTTAATCTATGCTTATGTAATGGAATATGGAACGTATTTCATTGTTATATTATTTATTATTTCCTGAACGTTTAGGCTGCATGATGTCAGTTACTGTTTATGATGACTTGTTCAAGTTTTCTTTTTCGTTTAGCTCAGTTTTTCTTTAACATCAGCAACACTCGTTCACAGCCATAATGTTTAACGTGAAATTTTATTGTTAGTTTTTTGTTCATTAAAACGGTCCACGTGTGTTAAATGTTCTCTGTTTGTACAATTGAAATTTTGTATTCATATGAAGTGTTGAGTGAATGTTTTCTTTGAATGTGGTAACAATTGTATCACACATTTCATGTCGAACGTTTCGCTATGTCATAAATGCATTTTTGTTCAATGTCTAAGCCGAAACAGGAAAGCCTCATCTCAGTTTCGAGTAAAGTAATCACGTTCGCCAAACACCGAAACGTTCTTGCATGGGAACGTTGCATTCCGTTTCTTGATTGCAATAACTTGAACTGTTTCGTTACGTTTCCTTGTCAGAACGTAGCCATGGTATGCATTCTGTTTGTCGGTGAATGTACAATGCTCTCCAGTAATCTTATTCCTCAGAAATGTTGATATCACCGTAATTGTTTTGTTGGCATTATTCTTATCCGTTCATTATTGTTTTCACCATTAATAATTATTTATATCAATCGCTGGTTTTGTCCGTGTTATTTTTGGGTTGTTCACTGCGACAAATTAAGTGATCTTTTCGTGCGTATAAACTATTGAATTGAATTTGTATCGTTCGGTGTCCGCTGTGAAAACTTAAATCACAAATACGATTTCGTTATGATTCGATATAGTGAAGGTGATTATTTTCTAATATTTAGCTTCGTAAATATGTGATAGAACAATCGTTGAAGTTGTTGTACTCTACGGAGAGAGTATCAAAGCGCAATTAGGAGGATGAAGACGATCAATTAACTGAAAAGCGATGGGCGATTGATTATTGATTGTATGGTGGTCATATTTTGTGGCTAGACCAGCACCTTTTAAACGGAGGGTGTGATACTCAAGGAATCGCGAAAAATTAAGCAGCAGTAGAATTTGCGGATATAAGAGTTTGTTGTGTAGGAGGTGGGACTGTAATGTGGAAATGAGATGGCGTTAAAATTTGTGCGGTGAGCGGAAATCTCGAATGAAAAAAGTTTAAGAAGCGATATATTACGTTTATATATAGATCAATGGCAGCTTAATCTAAGTTTTTTGTGCTGAAATGACTGCCTCGATTTGAATGAAGGAGTAGAAATGGTGTCAGAATGCAACTGATGATATATGGTCAATGTGTGGAACAGAAGTCTATGAATTCGATTGCGCTTCATAACTTATTGCCCACGATCAGATAATACTTTCAGAGACGAGGAATGTCAAAACAAGCCAAACTGCCTGTCGGGATAGACTCCAAAAAGGTTTATCTTTAAACACAATCTACTCTAGCCTGTTCACTCATCTTTACTGAGTTCTGCTGACACTCCAATAGCAACGTGTCTATCAGTTGATTAAAATGAAAGTGTTCCCTTAACAAACGCTATGTGAAATGAATATCGCCAGATAGGTCAGTCAGTGAACAACAGATTACGTATTTCAAGTTCAGTGAGAACATATGACGTGGAATGTTCGTCGATTTTAAAATGCTTCAAAAGATTTTATCCATAAACTCTTTTATCCATTAATTTTCAGATCAGCGGTGAACTTTTTACATTGACTTATGGCGCACTTGTGGCTGAATTGTTACGTGATCTCGAAAGTCCATCTGAGGTAATCAATTGATTCACCACGATTTTGAGATGCAGTGGAATTTGCGGATATAAAAGTTTGGTGTGTAGGAGGTGAGATGCAAATGCTCAAATGTTTAGTGTAATGGTTTAAGTGCATCAAGAAGAGGGTTGTTTTTTATGGATGTAATAGGTTAGCGAACGACTGTCTGCAAACTTCTTGCGTTCGTGTCTTCTCCATAAATTTGGCGAAATTGTAAAATGTAACTAAAATTATTCAAGTTTTATATTATCATTGATAATATTTGAAGCGTGCGTATGACAATTCCAACTTAAGCCTGCAGTGATCGCAATTTAAAGTGTGGTATGTAAGCAGAGAGAAGCTTGTCGGCGCCACTCTAATATAGACGAGAGTGATCGAATAGTTTGTTGACTATTATTTAGGTGAATCGGGAATTGGATAAAATGGGATATAATATCGGATTAAGAATGGCCGATGATTTGTTGTCGAAAAATGCTCAGATTGGACGGTGTACTGACATGCATCAAGTGGCCGAGGTTCTCGCCAAAGTTGCTCTCCGAACTTATTTGGGTGGGTGAACTGACAATGAGCTCGATTTTGATTTGCTTTCACTGAATCGATGTCGATTGACAGTTGTTATTCTTTCAGTTTTTTTTGATTCATTGGCAGTCAGTCAGAATTCAATTTCGGTAATTATTCAGTCGAATGTTTTTGTTTGTCTTTCGTCCATTATCGTTTCGTTCGAAAATACGCAAAATTTGTTTTGTATAGCTCTGAGATTCTTTAACGATCGATGATCAATTCACAGGTGTGAGCGCACAAGTGAGTAATTGGAGTACGAGTAACGATCAGTTTTCGTTGTTGATCGAATCGAATCCTCTGACCGAATTCGTCGAAATACCTCCTGAATTATCTCAAGAGCTGAAGTTGGCATCGTTTCTTCTGTTTCATTCCAACGAATCCATTCCTTCAAATATCTTCGTTTGAGCGATATTCTCGCACACGACTACTGCAGTCATCGTTCCTCTCATAAATCTGTTGACCGATGCAATGTGAAAATGCATTCTCGGTTTTCTTCTTTCATTCCATTTCACTTGATTTCTGTCGTCACATAAGCGCTGCTTTCAAATTCAGCGAGCATTGATTAATGAATGAAATAATGAATTTCGATTGAATACCGGTTAAATTTTATATGTTTCATTGTAATAGTGGTGATAATAATAGTAATATTGTTCGAGCGAGAATGTGTAGAATAACAGTAGTGACGACCGCAAATTTTCAGATACTCTCAAATAATCTGTGGTGCGATTCGAGGTGCCCTTCAGATGCTTCACATTGAAGTACAAACAGCGATTGTGAATGATCTTAATCAAAACACCGAGATTCGAGTTAAATTCACTCGAATTCTTCAAGAGTCTGTTCCCCCTGGAGAGGAGTATTAAACTGCACACATACTCATTTATTGTCATAATTTGTTCTGTTATTTAATGTTTCAGTGATTGTCTTGTCAAATTTATGTGTTGGTTTATTATATGCTATTCTGTTATATGTTACTTCTGTGACATAATTTTAGATAACCACTTCAACTTGTTAAATCTCTGTATAGTTTTTCCTTGGCACAGCAATTAATTCTGTGAAAAAGTATCACACAGTTCAACATGAGATGTCTACTATCTGCTTTCACTTACAAAAATTTTGATTTTATTCATTGTCACTGGTGTATTTGAGCATATCGATTCCTCAAATTATGAATATTTATTAGTTCAGCATACTGAGCTTATGACTGGTTGCACCTGAATAGTACGTCAGAATGCCAAATTAGTCCAACAGATATGTATCTTTTCAAAGCGTAAACGTTAAAGTTGTCTATTGCAGCTTGCGACTCATTTTGAATAATTTGTAAATGAATGTTCAGGATTGATGGAGTCATTGTTGTTATCAAACATCTACATTCATTTTTTATCACAATAATAGCGATTGAATGATAAGGAGAAATTAAATGATGTTGTTAATAACGACAACTCAGTGCGGTTGATCGCGGTTGCGATTTGACAATAAATTTCTGAAGCAAAACAGTCGCTTAGTTCGCAAAAATTTTTGGTGCAGATTTATGAATAAATCAAACTGTCATTGACAAAACCAACCACCTCAAACAGATCATCACTAAAACAATTATCGAATGAATTACTACTTATCAAACGAACCAGTGGTTACCAGTCTTTCTCTGCAAATCATCAGGCTACGTTGAAAATCCAGTCAAATCGCTCACCTTCTCTTCCATATCCATCAACCTCCAATAACTCCTCAAAACAGTTTTGAAGGTCAGTAACTTTGATAATTTATTGTAAAGTACAAACATCAGGATGACGCAGAAAGCAATTTTCTAAAACCAGAGAATCTAGAGATAATCCAACGGTATGAAGAAATCATAATCTACAAGCAAACCTGAGGACAGTATGAGATTCAGATGGTGCCAT